AATCGATATGATAGCTCTATGTGTCTATCCTCGCCTATGAAAAAATTTCCTTTCTCTATATCTATACGAAAAAATTTTTAGAGAAAAAATAAAGCATGTAAGTGGTAGGTTCATTTTTGGAAGTAAATACATGAAATTTTGCTTGACGATATTTATATGTACTCTTGCAATTGTAAACATTTGGTCAGTGATAGCTATCGTTCTAATGTTCCGTTGCATGTTTAATTCTTCCCTTTCTCAGTTCCTCCTACAAGAATTTCCATATAAATTTTTTTAAAGTACATAATTGAATATAAACACCAAACCATTTACATTGATATTTATTATATAACTTTGTTTATGAAAAACAAAGAGTCTTTATTCTGGTATAATGACCTTTGTACAGTCTTACGTAAATTGGTACACACTTAATTTCAAATTACTGAACAGGAACATTGTGAACTAGAAAGGAAGATCGAGCGAAGTCATGTTAAAAGGACGCTAGCATTTTACGTAAAATATGTAAGTAGCATAGAGCACGTGCATGCTGAGTTATATTATAAATCGTACGCATTACATATCCTATAGATTGTCGAATTCTACAATTGTTGGCTTTCTGAAAATGGCTAAGAGTTCAAAAATCCAAAACATCAATAAAAATTACCAGAATAAAGTAGAGAAATTGGAAGATTACACGTGAAGAAGGTACATGTATCAGTAAAATATTTAAGCGTTTTTTAATTTATGAGGATGTTAATGCCCGGCACTCAAATTTAGCAGAGCTTTGGTTTGAAAATATGCGATTGTGCATGGGCAAATAAATTATGTGAGCAAATTGTCGTATGACTCACGCGAAATTTTTCAAATTACTGCATATTTTTTGATTTCACTAAAGTGATATTTAGCAACGCAACGTTGGCAAAATAGGCGTCGGGAATTTAAGCAAATCATTGCCTGTAAAATCATCAGAATCTATCTTGAGTTGATTTTGCTATGAAATTAAATAGGTGTTAAAACCAGAACATTCACAAATGTTTTAATCGATGCAAAGACAACGTCTCTTGTAGCGTAACACAACCACACAATTTTATGGGGTTGGGGAGTAGCTAAATTTTAAATCTTTAGTTGACAATAAATTAACAAAAATCTCTTATTATTCATGCTAGAATGCATGGAAACTTTAGCACCCACAGCACAATTTAAAACTAAAAATAAACGGAAAGTTCAACAAAGAGCAGGAAAAACTGCACTTTGAATGGCTTGCGATATCCTGATTGGAATGTTAAAAAACAATTTTGATTTCATGTGTCCCTCATTACAAGTATGATAATTTCAGAAAATTTCAATACTATAGTTTGGACTGACACCATGAAAAGGAAGTTACTAAGAGTTTTATATAATGAAGCTGATTAACTAGTTTGGTCTGCTTCTAGTAGTTTTTGATAGCGGGATTTCTTTATAGTTCTCGTCGAAAATTATAAAAATTTCATTGATCTTTCACTCACAGCCAAGGGATCTTTTACACACTGGTGACCAGCACAATATCAACCACCTTGAAATTGCGAAGGCAATCTTAATGCCAAATCTTTTGTTACGCGTAACTGCGTTCCCGCTTTTTGTCCTCAAAATATTGAATTATTATATGTCTTCACGCCTAAAAATGCTAAGGTTGACATCTGGCGTTTTTTATGCTACTTGAACCAGTTGCCATGGTAATTTTTGCGGTCAATCCAATGGTATACGCACTAAGACTTGTTAACTATATGAAACCGTTCGAAGGCGTTATTTAAAATTAAAATAAAAAATTGGCTACTTCTTCTATATCAAACCACCAATCGTTTCTTCAACCTTTAGTTGACAACTTGCCTTAGTGATGACGTGCATTGCTAAGAAATGTTCACCGAAAGTTGACCGTTTTCATCTGTGCATAAAAAAATAGTGGTGGAGTTTCATGAGGTTTTGTGTGACTTGGGGCATGTTTCAAAGTTTTTGCGTGAAAATAATTTGCGGGATTTATATTGTAGATTTATATCTGCATTTTACTAGTGACAGTGTTTCTTATTAAATATGGTAAACTGCTGTCTGTTTAGATAATAGAGAGTTTCAGATTTGACTACGAGTACGACTACCGCTACTTGATTCGTCATTTGCGCGCGAACTACGTAATGCTGTCGTGACGACGTTCTGATGAAAAAATTCGTAGCCGTCGTCTAATTGAGTACGCGATTTTGAAAGAATCAGGTAGTCTACACTACGAGTTAAGAAAGTTATCATTTTTGGGGGATTTTTCAATTTTCTCTTTATTTTAGTAAAAGGGTATATTTTAGGTACATAAGGTATTTAAAGTAAATGGTTTGAGCCCGGGAGTATCGTTACATGTTTGTAAATGTATATCGTCCAGGTTGGAATAGTCCTGAGAAGGACTGTTTTTGTTGTTGTTGACTGACGTTTCGACAACCTCAGCGGTAGTCATCTTCAGAGTCAAATGACGAGTAAACGTCAGGTTTGCCGTATTTGTTATCTGGTTCTTACGTCATTGTATTGTGTGTACAGGAAATGTGTATTGTCATTGTGAATTTGTGTGAAGTGAAATATTTTAAGTTGTGATGTGTGATTTAGGTGTGATGTTTTTAGTTGTAATGTGTGGGTGTCAATTGTGTATTGTCATTGTGAATTAGTGTGAAGTGTAATGTTTTTAGTTGATCGTTTTGTTTGTATTGTGAATAAGTCGTTTTTAAGGTGCCGGTAATTGCTGTGATCTGTTCAGGGGGGTTTGCTTCAAGTTGGTATACCAACTCTCTAATGTAAGCCGTTGTCTATAGTCAGTACTGTAAGTAATGCATTTTGCCGAGTCCCAGTCACTGTTGTGCTTTGTGATTCGGTGATTGCATAACTAAGAGATAAATTAGTTTATAGAAGAGCTAAAAATACGATGAAATATGATGAAACATGTCAAAATGCAACGATTTTTGTCATCTGTAAGTCTACTGTGGTTTGGAAAAATATGGAAAAAAGCATCATTTATTAAACAATCTGCAAACTTCCGTGGTATGTGAAAGCCAAAATAGCGACAGAAAAAGGAAACATTTCATGACTCCGGTAAGTACCATAGTATTGTTCATCATTTAAAGTGCTCAGTAGTTTGACTATTTTGTTTTTAACACATTACTAGAGGAGTATTTCTATCACTAATTTATAATTTAAGTTAAGATGACAATAAGACTACTGAAATCGAGGCAATTATCAATACAGAAAATCCAACGGGAGAAATTGCAAATGAAGAGGATGTTCCAATACCATGTAATCGTCTAGTGCGAGCGACGTATGAGGATAACTTTCTAAGAGATGTGGAAATTATCAATCCATGACGTGAAAGGCGACCACCACAAAAAATTGATGACGAAATATATAATTGCAGAGAAGATTTAACCGCAGATACTTATGAGTCAAGTACTATCGCTGAAACATGGAATGGAAAGAACAGTAACGAATGAAGAAAGCTACAGAGTTGGAATACAAATCATTAAGTGAAAATGATACGTGGAATCTTGTACAACCACCCGAAAAGAAAAATGTGATGGGTAGTAAATGGGTATTTAAAGTCAAAAGAAAATCCGATGGAACAGTCCAAAGATTTAAAAGTAGACTGGTAGCACAAGGCTACACCCAATCACCAGGTATAGATTATGAAGAAGTGTTTGCACCTGTTGTAAGATATAGTTCGATAAGATCGTTACTTGCAGTTGCCACCATTTGTGACTGGGAAGTTTACCAAGTCGATGTTAAAACTGCATTTTTACAAGGAAATCTGGAAGAGGAGATTTATATAAACAACCCGATGGATTTGTTGATAAAGAACGACCAGATTACGTTTGTAGATTAAAGAAAAGTATATATGGACTTAAGCAAGCGGTAAGATGCTGGAATAATGCGATTAACACTTATCTGTTATCCAATGATTATAAGAAATGCACTGCTGATCCCTGCATCTACATTAAATCAGTGAAGTCTAAAGATCGTACAATTAAGTTCGTAATTGTAGCGATATATGTTGACGATATGATGATATTAAGATGTTGCAACAAGAAAAGAAAGTGATGGCAATGAAATTTCAAATTGAAGATTTAGTAGAGCAGCACCACACACATAGTGTCATTACGTCAGAGAGCAAGTTGAGAACAAGAACATTACTGTCAAGTATTGTAGAACTAAAGATATGTTAGCGGATGCAATGACTGAAGGATTAACAAAAAGTCATTTTCAAAAATGTAGAAGCAAACTGGGACTTATGGAAGTTTAAGAACGAAGGACTATTTTATCTATTAACACTATTAGTTAAATTTTGTTAATTATACCGTGATTATTAAGTGGGAGTGTTAGATGGGAAACATATTTATAATAATGACATTAGCATATTAAATGTCCACGTGACTACAGTTACGTGATATTGTTTTGCTCTCTCCACATTTTTGTTATGTTGATGAAACACACAGTTATTGTTATATGAATAAAATCATCTTAATCACAATGATGTGACTGATCATTTTAATAGCTCTTTCGTCGATAGTTATAAAAAGCATCCTTGTAGGAGCAGATAACTGACAACCACAGTTGACTCGCTGTGATGAATTTAAGGTTTTTACCTTGATTTTCATCAAAAAGTTTCTTGCCGAATCCCAATTACACATATACATTTTCCTCACTCTTTCTTTAGGAGGGAGTGGGAAATTGTAAAATTTTCGGAAAAGCGGTCCATTTCGGTAAATCTCAGCGGCAAAGGACGAAATCCTGCATTTTGTTGGCGTCATTCGATATTTAAGGCCGCGCTTGAGATATCCGCTCCAGTTATTATAGCTCCATGTATATAACTCAATGGTCGTACTCGTAGTCAATTCTGAAACTCTCTAATTGCTGTCTTCGTTGTTACCGCTCGTGGCCTTATTTCGAGACACGCGGGTCGTGGTGTTGCATTCAATGGTTGCATTGTTTCATTTGCATTTCTTTCATTTACATGAAGTACCTCTTAAATTAAACAATATGGCGACGTATAAATGTTCTTCTTTAATCAATGTGAAAGAATTCAAAGAAAATGTTTTGTCGACTGTTTGTTTGGACGAAATTCAGAATACGCGTGACAAAAAGCGCATGTTGAAAGAATTAGATTTAGGTCAGGAAACGCTTACAGAACTTTCCGAAGTTTGTAGGTAAGACATTTTCTTTGATTATAATATGTGATGTGACTGACAAACTGAGTCTGAGTACTTGAGTTTAAAAGTAGTGTAGTGACTGACTAAGTGAATATATATCTCTGTCTTCCATTGTACAGCTCCTTTCCACATATTTCCTAATCTTATGCAAACCTGCCATTCCTAAATGTAACTCAACTATTCTTTTTAAATGGTGTCATGCACGCCTGCCGAAAATGGGGTCCTCTGGGCAAACAGCTGCAAACTGCAATAATTTACTTGAATTGTTGAAAAAATTAAAATGTCCAAATTCTTCTTAAAATCCTGTAAAATTTAGTCACATGTGTGGATCAGCTCAACAATCTTCATTTGCTTTGACCTCCCTCAACCTTTCATTCCAATTGTTGCTTACCCTTGTGTTCACTTTTCAGTATGCTCTTTTCCAGTATGTTCTTTTTTGTTTAAAGAATACCATACCATCAGTTATTGTTAATGTGCTAATCTTAATGTGTTAATGTTAATGTGTTAATGTTATGCAATGTGTTACTCAGAATTCACAAGACTCTCGTTTTTCACATTTACAGTCTATTTTCACATGCTTATCTTTGATCTTAGTGATCACTTTTGACATTCATTCGGAGCATCAATACCTATGTCGACCCTTGCCACTGGACACTGGTTATGACATGCTTGTCTCTCATCTTAGTGATCATTTTTGGCATTCATTCTAAGCCTCAGTATATATTGAATGAAGATATGATCTTCGCACTTTGCTGGACAATTTAATCAATTGTCTCAAGAACCTGAAAAATTCAGGTGACTCAACGGGATTCTATTCTTCATTCAATTTCAAACACCGCACTGCATAAAAAAAAATTTCCTCAGTATATATGTCAACCCTTGCCACTGGACACTGGTTATGCTTATTTAGCCTTCAATGCAATTCCTTTTCACAAAATCTTCTATCCAGTGTAAATCCCTTCTTTACCACACCAATCTTTTTTCCTACATCATGTTTACTCTATTTTTCATTGTACAAGTTCAATTTTACTTTTTTGACAAAGTAATTTGTTTTTCTTTTTTCTTTTTTGTGATTATAATTGTATCCTTAAAGTCCCATAAATCTCAAGGTAAGTGAGACGACCAGCATTTGTACTCTGTGGATTCTATGTTTGACATATCTATTCACAAACGACGTTGGTTGCATTAAAACAGAGATCCCCTAAAGGGTCCCCGACATTGGATGTCGAGCACAAAAGAAAAGAGGAACTTTCTTCTGCAACTGAACTGGCATCACTTAGGTCAGTGTTTTTAAGGCATATTTCTTTTCGATATGAAGTGGCAGATAATAGGTGGTAATTCACCAATGAAAATATTTAAATTTTGAAACACTTCTGAAAGAGTCCCATTGGTCTAGTTTTGGTCCAAAGATGTTCATTAGAAATATGTTTACAATAGTACAGTTTTTTCGTATTTATTTTTTCAATTTTTCATTCATAAATTACATCCTAGACTCGCCACTATTTGGTAGATACTGAACAAGATATACTTGACATTGGAATCATATAACTCCAGATATTAGCTACGTATGTATGTTTCAGCTTGAGTAAGCAAATACACTATTATAAGAATGAGACAGCAAAAAGTGCGTGTTTAAGATTTTATTGGGGCATAAAAAGTTTTCTGAGATATGTATTGATAATTGATTTAAAGATATCGAGATAACTGTTTGATCGCAGATAGGTTTGCACAGTTTATTGCAAACTTGGCTATTTGTTCGTAGCACGTTTCTTTATTATCTTGTGTATGAAATGTACAAATTATTGCAGATTGTTGCCGTACAATGATAAAATGACTTCGTATAAAATGTTTCTACCGAAGAACTATCTTGTATATTCTGAAGAATTGGTATGTGTTCATGCATTACTATCTTTTGACGCTTGACACATTTATACAGTACATCTGTCATCTGTTGTCTTCATTATGTTATCTTGCTGATGCTGTTATAGAATAAAATGTAAATTTTACGTTTATAAGTCAAACCACAAACACAGAATAATGATTATACAGAAGGGTCACTCAGGTGTACAACGTGTCCTCATGTCGGCCAATATTCCAGCCAGATGATTAGGATTTCTCACTTGCTTCCAACCATTCAAATTACACGACGTCAAATCTCAATAATGAATTCGAGAATATTTTGACTCAAGAAATGACTTCTGATCATTTTAAAGGTTTGGAACAAGTCAAAAACCCTTATAAATTGGCTGGAATAATGGCGGCCACCATGCGCGGCACGTCATGCACGAGGACAAAAAACATCAAAGGCTCCGACACGAGGACCATTCTGTATGGCCTTATTCTGTGCCACAGAAGTCTTAACTTAACAGCTCTATTGTTTTGCAAATGCAGCTTCACATGCGTAGTCTAGACTTTTTGAACTTTCAAGAAATATCTTATTATGGTTATTTCTTTGCACATAATTACGTTCAGTTAAACCAATCCCTTATCCATTTCTCTTTCTTCTCCCCGTTAATCTCTAAGACTTACAAATGGAGGAACAAACGTTAGTCAAGTATGATGTAGCTTGTAAATCTTCCGTTCAAAATTTGCTCATAATAATGCTGTTGATTATTAATCTCCAAAGAATGAAATCTTAGTTAGTGTAAATGTATTCAAGAAATAGCTGTTTTTCTAAAAGAAGGTCTGCACATCATATCGTTCATGCTATCTATAAATAGTAAATATTTCTTGTTATTCAAACCCTACTCTGTGAACTAAACTTTTGTGATTTCTTTGTTGTCTTATTTTTCTCAAAGAAAAATGTTAAACCTGGCGGCAACGACTTATCTTGTCAGCCTGAAGTTGTACTCTCGGTTGCATTGTTCCATCCGGTTTCGGTAAGATTTACATTATCCAAATCAGCTAACTTTTTGAAAAAGATAGGTTGATTCGTTGAATTATACTAAAAAGAAGTAATATATCTCAGGTCATCATCGTTACTTACTGTTTAATAACAATTTTTTTATTTATTTTTGTGTGAACTGCAGTGTCGTAAGGTTCAGGAATTCCTTGTGTTAGGAAGACAAGTACGTAAAAACTGTCTTTTTTAGTCGATTTTTCCTAAATCATTGTAAATTGTACATTAAATTAGTGTAATATTTGAAAGTTTTTGTGTGGCGTCTGGAGTCTTCAATTGACCAACATCGCAAATGAATTTTCAATAAATATCAAGAAGTCTTCCTATTCGTTTTCTTACGAACTGGCTTGTGTTCTCTACTCTATCATCTTGAATTGTTATTATCTGTTTATTTGCAAAAAGATAATTTGAAACCTATCAACTAGGAAGTGTTTGCTGAGTATTTTCTATTTTATTTTTCTAGAAACTGACTGAATTACGCGATAAAATATACTGTCCTGCCGACACCATTGTTGTTGGTGAACATAGCGAAAATCCTGAATTCGCAGCTGCTGCTTCAAACAAGGTGTGGTTCAATTTTCCCTCCCTTATGCCTGTTTAATTAGGTTGCGCGGCAAATCTTAAACGATTACTTCTTTATGAAAATTACACATGCATGTTTCTTGATATTGATAGGCCAGGTTAGTGGATTGACATGTAGAAATATGTAATATTGCTCACCGATTCCAGATCATACACCTAAATATACATGTGCTGCTTTACTTACGTTGTGTTCCTAGTATTTACTTCCTGTCCATGAGCATGCGGACCACTGATCTCGAAAAAAACTGGATCAAGCAACAGTATATTTGTTGTAAACAAATTTTGAACCACCTCCACCATTATTAAGGGACCAACACATCGAAAGATTTTTTAACAAAACTATGGAAAACATAGCAACACATGGTCAAATCATGCTTTAAGGTAAAGCAGAAGATGAAAAACAAACTTTGTGGCGATAGTAAAGCGAGTCAGAAAGAATAATCGGCCGTATAAAACAAAACGCATACAGGTTTCACTCCGAATCGCTCGTGAAAAAGGCTTGTAATTTTAAAGGATTGATCAGTTTATGATCGTAAATGAGATTATTGGATCAGTTTGTACTTCTGAACTACGATTCCAACAATTCTAGGTATTTTCATGTAGTTGTGGGCTATTTTCCATAGTTTTTCCATACCACGGTAGAGGTACCGATGACAAAAATCGATGCATTTTGATCATATTTCGTCGTATTTCATCGTATTTTTAGCTCTTCTATAAGCTGATTTATCTCTTAATTATGTTCATGTAATTACATGTTGAAAATTCTTGATTATTCGCGTATATATCCACAATATATTTGCTCCTTATTTTCGAAATTTGGTCCCTTAGTAATGGCAGCCTCCTTATTCTTTCTCTTCAACTTTTGTGCTAGATGCTTGATCCAGTCTTATTTTGAGATCAGTGATCAGTGGTTGGCTTGCCAACACTAATCAAGGACAATGATTTTGCCAACAGCTTAATTTAGAATTTATTTTTAGTCATGCTTAGTCTGAAAACCTATTTTATAGCTAATAGCCTACCCCCATATTTTGCCACTCCGAAAGTGGGATGGTTTTTGCTGGGGTTTAGATGCTGTTTGTTTAATCTGAAAAGGGTTTACATTTTGCTCCATTTGAACCTTTGTGAGTATCTTTTTGTTCTGATTCATTTCACTTTGCAGGATGTTTGTCCGTCAGCGTTCATTTTTATAGAGGGAGTGTTCTACAATGACATGAGAAAAGACTTATGTCGCGACTATAGCACGTAAGTGATCGACTTTTATAACTCTTTGTATGTTGCTTTCAAAATTTTCAATTCAAATATTGTGAAGCTTGATTTACCAGTAACATTCATATTAAAGTATTACTCGTATCTTGGTGCGGTAAAAATAAATCTCGTAATTATTATTTCATATACTATTTTCTGCTAATCTCATTGGTCGGAACCTGCAGATAATTTTTTTATTTGGATGCATAAAAAATACATGGTGCCTGCGTACCTCTTTAGCGGTAATTTGCAGTAATTGCAAAAGAACGGGAAATTTTGTAAAATGATTTTGTTTTCAATGTTGTTTCTGCTGGTGTCGTTTCTTTTGCTTTTTGACTTCACGGTTTTTGTAGCCTAATGAATAACATATGAATTAGTGAATTCGGTATTTAATAATTCTTTAACATTTCTTTTGGTTGATAGCAGTAGCTAAAGGGCAATAGTAAGGAATAGTTGAAAGTTTCTTTTTTATATAAGTCGTATAAAAAGAGCATTTTGCGTACTCAGCTAGTTTGTACTGACGAGCAAAAGATTCTCTGTTTGATTTCGCTTTACTGAATAAAGTCAACACTGATTTCAAAGGGGGAAAAACTTTCCCTTGCATTGAAAATATTAGCCAATAAAAACTTTCTAATTCTACAATCATTTTCAAATGTAAAAACTGGTCGATTTGAATAAAAACCTAAATTGTATTTCTGCTTATGTTTGTAGACTAATCATGGATTGGATTAAGAGCCATAAAAACGAAGAAGCTCGATACGGAGTGTGTACCTCTAAAAAAATGGAAGAGTCCTCTTTTGAGGATTTATCCATCAAACTTGGCTATCCATATGTGTACATGCATCAAGGGAATTGTGAGCATTTGCTTATCTTTCGTGACCTAAGGTACTTTTTAAGTTGTTACATTACGTACTTCAGGCGTGGCCACGTGTGTCAAAATCACTTGGATTAAAAATCTCCACTAAAGGTTAAACATACCATGTCAATTGTATTACTTTAGTGTTTGTTGATGATTAAATGATCTAAGCAAAGAGGTCATCTCATATTTATCTATTTTCTTTGAGGATGCTGCATGCTGACGATCCGCAGAGTACTTCTTTCTATCCATTTCAAATCTTCAGACCTCGTCCAATGAGGCGCACGTGCATGGTGTGCGCTGTGAATTGCGCAAGGTAGGGCTGATAACAAAATTTTGCATTTTTTTGCGATTCAATGTATATTGGAATGATTCATAATTTTCTTTCCATTAAGGTGGCTTACTCGTTATGATTTATTGATGAGTGAAGATCCAAGTTTATTCTGTGAAAAATGCTTTAAGGCATTGCATTATAAGGGTAACGATAAAGCCTACCCGTTCAGCGCCTACCAATACTGCGGTGTCTACTATTGGTGAGATCCGTTTAGCGAGAGTCGCATGGTGATGTCGATATGGGAGAGGATCTGGTAAAATTTTCTTCATGGCGTATACGTATATGCTTTCCAGTTGGAAAGCATATATGTACTAAATGTTGAAGCCATCTAATTGAAGGTTTCTAAGCGGTGTTGGATGAAGAGCGTTGTTCAGCGATTACTTCAAAATGATGCTGGTGTTACAATGCTTGAGAATGTATGATAACACAAGGAGGTTTTTTTCTTAGTTGCCACTCTTGTGCATTTTCCACACATTTGGAAGCAATTTTGGGCATTGATAACATCTTTCAAACTCTACGACGATTTTTGCCTTTGAGGCTATTGATGTGGGCGTTTTACTTTTTAAAGTAACTTGCCCCCGCTTGCCTCTTTTCTAACGTTGATCGCATCGAACTTTTTGTGCTTTCCTTCGTGTTGTTCATGTTTAATGAACCCTAATAATAGACAGACTATTTGGGGCTCGTAATCACGTAGCATGGCTTTGCGTGATGCAATACTTAATGAAATTTTTGCAACATCTTTATATGAGCAAAATAAAAAATAAGATAGATAGATAGTCTGTTTATTTTAAATCATTTTGCAGCCAAACGTCTGAAATACATGATTTACAATAGATGATAAAATAGATATTTAGTGGGACCGAGGAAGCCATGCCCTTTCCACCCCCATTTTGTCCATGAGCAAGTAATTTATTCGGTAAAGTTCTGCGTCTCACATATAAAATATGTTTCTACGCTATTCTATCCTCACCCTCCCCACCCACCTCCACTGATGCACTTTGCTACAGGCTCTTCGTTTCCCATAAATTATTTGACCGTCTCCGCACTCCGCATTCCGCATATTCATCATGCTTTATTTCACACATGAACGCGAAGTTACTTGAAATTCGAGAACAATGCGAGAATACTTACGTGACGTTTCTCTTGGTGATATTCGGTGTTTGGATACAAGCGAGAGCATCCTAAAAGTCCAAAATCCAATGTCATCTTGTTGTCTGCTGACCGTCTTGTAAGCAATTGCCATTTGTTGTAATTTGCGGTTGATTATGACTTCGATGGAAGAACTTTATTTTGGAGGGATCGAAGGGTATGTTTGTAATGTATATTATTTCGAAGTTTGATCTCTGTCCTTAATTTTTTTTTCTTGTTGGAGGGTATCAAGGAGTGTCAAGGGAGTGAATCTCCATGCACGAGTTGTAGCCACTGCGAGCATAAACCTTCAAATTTATTCCTCGATTATTGTATAAATTTATTAATTCAAATAGCTAAATGAAGATCATTGCGATATCTATAATTGTGGACAATGGTTTTATTATGACATTTTTTTCATGCGTTTTGCAATACTATCGGCTTCTAGGCCTAACCTAGACAACAAAATCAACATCACTCTCCAAACAAGACTTAGTGGAATTTATGTGAAGAATATAGTGCTACATACCTAGTCGCACTGATTCCCTTACTTAATTTATCTGTTTCAACACCTAGTAATACAACAAGTCAGTGTGATTCAGATTCCGCGTATTGTATTTGCTGCTTTTGTCTTTGCAATAGTTGCATGTGACTACAACTTTTGCCCTGGATTTTGACGCTCTAAAGATTATGGCTTCCTTTGCAGTTAATTGAAAGCTATAGTCATTCAAAATTACCTTTCATGATGAAGCAGATTTCTGACACAGTGTATCTTGACTGGCTAATGCACAATTTTTTCAATGAGGAGTAAATACAAAGTGCACCTATTGCTAAGAATTACCAAAAACGTTGTTATGTTCAGCATTGATGTCATGTTTGCGTAAGTCAACAAATCTTTGTTTGTAATATATTTGTGATATTCATTAAGGTTCAAGTGTATGTATTTGATAAATTTTGATTAAATTTCTAATGTTTTCAGCACATATATTAGTGAATGTAACGTAGTAAATGCCCAAGAAATAAAAATTTACAATCTTAGAATGTTGATCACTTATATTGGCAATAACAAAAAGCACCTAATTAGCTTAGGCCTTTAAAACAGGTTGTTATTTTCTGAAATCATTTGTGTGTATACATAGCAGTTGCATTACAAGAAAGACAAAGAGAATTAAAGGACCATTGAAAGCAGGGGCAAACTAGGAAGCTAATTGGGCAAGGGGGTGGATATTCATATATTCAGCTCTGCCAGCTGATTTCTTTTAGCTGAATATACGAATATTATCCCCCCAAATCAGCATTCTAGTTTCGCTCCTGATTGAAAGCAACATAAAAACACTGATCCAAAAATGTGACTGCATTTTTCAGGGTTCCTGGCAAAAATCTTAATAAATTGCTGTGGTAAAACAGTTTGTTTTTAGATTAAATTATTTGGAATTTGCATAATTTTTGAGAGAAATGCACAAATAGTTTTCATTTTTATGATCTAACTTTATATTGTGAGATGGTGTGTCGGGTTGAAACTTTCCTGTGATGCATGTTAAAGGTGTGAGAAACTTACAAAATTTTAGCTACCTAAGTCATTGTTATTAGCATAAATTGTTATTGCAATTATAAAATGAAGGGAGTGGTACTTATTAAGTTCAATATCTTTCATTTATTTTTGGCATTGCATTGATCTTTATGTACACAGCAGCAGTCTTTCTTCACATTTCATCTTCATTCCCTATTTCCTCCATTCACTATTATCATTTACTTTTTCCTCTGTTCACCTTTCCACCACTATTTTCCTAGTTTTCTGTCAAACATTTTGTATTTCCTTTCTTCACTATTTAATCCATTCAGTTTTCTCTTCATTCATTACAGTCCATTCACCTTAATTTCCCCATTCACAGTTTCCTCCATTAAGAAATTCTACCATTTGCTGTTTTTTTTTGTTCTCTATTTATTTTCTCCCTTTACTATTTTATGTTTTGTCCATTCACTACAATCTATTCTCTATTTACCATCTTTAATTTTTTTCCCTTTCACTGTTTCCTCCATTTTGTAATTTTGCCAGGCCCTATTTCCTCCATTCACTACTTCCTTTAATTTCCATGATCCATACAGTACTTCCATATATTTCTCCATTCATTACCATCCATTCTTTCACCAATTCACCATTTCCTCATTCATTGTGTCCTTTATTATTATCCATTCAGGGTTTCCTCCCGTCACTATGTATTTTCACCATTCACAATCATCTATATTCACTTTTTTTGTCATCCACTCCTTCCCCACGCTCAATTTCCTTCATTGTGTAATTTCGCCTTTCACTAATTATTGCATTCACTATTCTGTATCCACCATTCAGTTATTCCTCCTTTCTCCGTTTCATCCATTTGTTTTTGTCCGTTCACTACCACTGATTCACCCTTTCTTTCGTGCACTTTTTGTGCAATTCACTATTGCCTCTATTCACCAATTAAACTTTTAATATTTCTTCAATTCATTACTTTCTCCTGTCAATAGAGCGGTTAGGCGGATGTAGGTAAGAGATTTTGGACCCCTCTGCTCATTTTCTTCAAATGCTCGTGAGTTTGTCGGATCAATTTTTGTTGTGATTATATCGCTGTCGGTTTGATCAAAGTCTTGTGTTCTTGCAGAGGTGGTTCTTCCTCGAATATTGTTATCGTTAACGCATCTGGTCACGTGATTGGAAAAGCTGAAGGTCTCTCTACGAATCATTGGGTTGGTACAAACTTGCAATCATATTTACGATATCTTGAAAGAACGCTTGCACCTTAAACTATCACTAAGTTTGAGACGAAAAATCTTCTCAATTATTGTGTGTGGAATTGTGGATAACAAGTTATTTAATAACATATTGTTCCCATGGTCTTACCCTGTAACTGATCTGTAAATAAAAATATGTTTATGCATTGTGTTATGCATGTGTTAATTGTTATGTTATGTTTCAAAAGATAGTGTTTTTCTCGGAAAATTATAAATTGAACTGTTATTGTCTGATAAAAGTACTTTAAGTCATCGTATCTTTTCTCCAGTTGATTGGCATTGAAGAGTGTGCTGTTAGGGTGAATGACATGGTCGTGAAAGCTAAAAAGAATGCTGGGCTATCATTGGACAAACCCCTGGCTTCACTGGTATGTACACGAAAGCACTGACATGGCGAGCTTGCTTATGTATTTAGTAGTGTTGCTATGCTCTGTGTTTACTTACTGTACTAGGAAAAACCAAATATCTCTACAGGAATATAAATAGTGATATAGTTTTGAAACGTACATTGCATGACTTTAACCTGCGGTCTGACTACGCCACTGCATGAAACCAAGAAATTTAACCCCAAGAACATTTCTCCCCGAAGATTTGAAGCCGAACACAAACTTGTCGCGATTGACGTCTTTCTTTCTAGAATTTTAAAAACAACATATAACATTTGACACGTGTTAAAAAACACGTCCCTATATTAAAACTGTACACTTTACCGAATAACTCATGTGGTTTGTCACTTTTTTGTGCTCATGCAGAACTAACAAATGAATCTTTAACTTATATATTATTCGTGATTACGAATGCTTATTAGTTACATGGTGTATAAATTTAACGCTGTATCTGTAGGTATTGAATTTTACAGCTAGTTAAAGTCGGAGCACGATTCCAGGTCGTGCTCTGAGGTGTCGTGTGTGATGTATTTCAAGTTACAATTTGCATATTTTATTTTACATTGCACTATGTATTTTTCGACTTCGTTTACGTGCAGGGCCTTTCTTTGAGTGGAGGAGAAAAGGAGGAGTTCAAGAAAAAAATGGAGAACGTCATGAAGGAGAACTATCCCAATTGTAGCCTGTCCTATTTCATCTGCACCGACACATTTGGCTCCATTGCAACTGCATCCGATTCGGGTATGTTAAAAAATATGAGCATTGTTGGTTTTATTCAAAAGTAGCATGTTATCTCGTTGAACTGGCTTGCTTTAAAGTGCCAAAATGCTTTTTTACTGTGTGAAATGCAAATGTTATAATAGGTAAATTGTAGAATCATTTTGTTAGCGTAAAGTATTTCCGTCTTTTTTGCGTTCTTTGAAATGGATGTTGTCTCGTGTGGTGTTGCAATGACCTAATATTGCGTAGTCAACGGATAATATGGGCAGTGTTATTAGGGTTTAAGATAAATTCCATGTTCTGCTCGAACTTTTTTACGTGAGACTTACGCGGGGCGAATATTGCTCCGTTCTTTAGAAGTATCAATGCCACATCGGATTTCACTGATGCCCTACACAAAAAGCAGAGAGAAAGCCTATTCAGTCATAGATTTGAAATGCATCATTTTTTTGTTTTTCTTGTGTAGGTGGTATTGTTCTCATAGCAGGTACTGGTTCCAACTGTCAGTTAGTAAATCCGAACAATGACGTACATGGTTGTGGTGGATGGGGACATATACTGGGTGATGAAGGATCAGGTGAGGATCATATGGGGCGTATACGTTCACTGGCTGCCTAGGGTTTAGCACGAGAACGATTTGCTTGATGGGCTGTGCCAGAGTATTTTGACCTTAAAAAGCATTGTGTTCAAATTTAAAAGGACAAACTCAATCTTTCTATGCACCACTCTTTTGTCACGTGCACTTTGTTCCAGGTTACTGGATTTCTCATACTGCGGTGAAAACTGTATACGATGACGATGACGGTTTTGTCAAATCTCCCTATGATATAACACTTGTGAAGGAATCCATGTACGATTTTTTTAAGGTTTGCTGTTCAGGTTTATTTAGAAATGCGACCATTGAGTATTTTTTTGTGTTTTTACAGCATACGTGTATATTAATTGTGAAGATTACATACGAAAAGCACTTTTATTGCAATATAGCCACCGCATACCAGGACTTATTTGTGTTGGAACTTGTGTTGAAATTCTGACAATTATTCTTTCGTAGGATTCATTTACTTAGACGTAATTAAAAATACTACTAGCTTTTGAAACGGAGCCTTTCACGCTCCTTTCTTGATTCAAATTTCAAAGGAAACACAATTTGGGAATTATTTTAACGTACATGGCCTTTACATAACAATGGTATCGTGCGTAACGAAGTTAAATTCAGGGAGTGAGTGAGAGTTGTTGTTTTATTGCAAAGTTGCTGTGGAGTTGCTCAGCCAACAAATGCTTGTAACACTGGTTTTAGCACGCTTTATCAACCATATTGATTCTTGCAGTAATAATTTATCTATGGAAGAAATTTGTCTTAATGTAAGTACTTGCTTGCGAATAAACACATAACTTAATTTTTTTAGATGAAGAAGCCTTTTGATATTCTTGATCATTTTTACAAAGATTTTGAGAAGGCAAAAGTAGCCCAATTCGCTACTACGATAGCGCAAGGTATGTTGACGTTCTTTTGGTTATAGGTTACATTTGTCTCGGCCTTTTGTGCTCGTCACTCATGAAATATATGGTGTTTGAGTAAACTAGTTGCTTGCAAATCTCCTAAAGTTTAACTCGCTTCTCTCGTTTGTATTGACTAGGATGCTACCATAAACATAGGATGCTGCCATATTAGTGTTTCAAGCAAAAATTCATTGAAATTTCATTCAATACCAATTTTTGAAATTTCTTTCAATACCAATTTTTTAAATTTCAAAGCTCGTTAAAGTTCTTGTCAATCATTGCACCAACATGGCGCCCCCTATGATGTAAAGTCAAAACGCTCTCTTGTGATAATTCATACTTTGCTGTGATCATTACCAAGTCGAACAGACGTAGTTAACAACTTTGATCATCGTTTAGGTGCATCAAAAGGTGATCCTTTGTGTAGACATCTATTCAAAGAGGCTGGTATTCTTCTAGGACATCATATTAATGCCCTTGAAAGCAAAATTGACGTGGTAAATAACGTATTTGACGCTTCTAATATTTTTAGTCTTACTAGTGTTCGTCAAAGCTGACCATGTACTGCTCTAAAGCTGACATTGGATGCTTACGTGTGGTATTTTGTCGGTAATGTTTTTTCTTTCTGATAGTTAAGATATATCCATGAATAAATATTCCCTGAAACGTTGTTATACTATAAGTCATTCGTGTTAACTAATGAAGTTATTTTTTCTATTCTCTTTACCACAAACCCCTGCTATAAGCCATGGGCTTATATAATTTTGTGAGCTTTTTTCGTGGTCTTTTACACGGGCTTAGGACGTTGTTTACGTTATTTGTGATTCTGTCAGTTATGACGTAAACGTGTTCCACATGTTAAGGAAGCGGCATTAACATTTGATTTTTTTCATAGAGACTTGCTGGCTGTGAAAAAGGATTAAAAGTCTTGTGTGTAGGCTCTGTGTTCAAAAGTTGGGAATTGTTAAAAGAAGGTATGAAACTGTAATCCAGCCTGTCTCGTGAAATTGAGCAATATGTGCATTTTAGATTAGTTTGATTCATATATTTGAAAATCTGGATCAAAGCCTATTTTCATTGGACGATGTTTGCAAAGAGTGTTTGAAATTTGCAACATTAATCGGAAATGAAGTATGAAATAGACAGTAACTAATTGAGCTTTATTATGGACTCGTCTTTCGATTCGTGTCTGTTGAACTTCAATTATCAAAATAGCAGCGATATTTAACAGAGATTTGTTTAAAGAACATTATGATAAAATTAAATTTTAAATGTTATTTCCTCGTAAGAATACGTGTTTTTATTTTACTTATATATTTTTAGGCTTTATCGAAGGTTTAAGACGAGGGCATGATCAACGTTCGCCTTGTTACAAATCGTTGATATTACTGCGTCCAAAGGTAAAAAGTAGTCTTGGTGCTGCGATCCTTGGAGCGAAAGCCATAAACCAGGCTTTTCCAGTCGACTACAGTCAAAACACCGAGTCATTTTCTACGTTCACTCCGTAATTGAAAAATTGTTGCATTCTTTTTAAGGTCGTTACATCATCATACCAGTGCGTTTAGCAATCTTGAATATGATGAGTTTGAAATAATTATTTCTTTTTTAATGTATTTGGTATTGGAGCGTTCTCATTGACACAAACACTCTTTCATACCAAACGTTAGTGTAATCTTGGTCAATCCTAAAAACACCCCGTAACCCCTGTGAAATTTAATTTTCACTACTAGCAATCATCTTTATTCTTGGTGTGCAATCACGTCATAGCCGCCATGTTGGATATTAGTTAACACAAATGATAATTTTAACTAAGGATATTTCTTATTTACAATGCAAATGTCATTCAACAGGGCGAACATTCCAGTGTTCTCTTACTCTCATAGAAATGGTTGCACACCATCTATTCAGTTTTCTCTTGTGACATAAATGTTAAACTCATACACACTCCTGCTGTCAAAGACGTCTTTTATGGCTTTGCTCATGACAGTGCTCAGCAACAGAGCAAGCCCTCTCTCACAATAGAGCAATTTATTACAAATAAATCGGAATACCGTTTATTTTAATGGTTTTCTTACAAAATCGTTGATTGCAGATACTTTAGAAAGTATAACACTTATCAAAGAAGTGGTTGTTTAGATGAAATTTTAGCAGGCTATTAAATTATGTAAATCACACGTATTAGAATGCAATTAATACAACTCTTTTTTGCGTTCATGTTACGTCATAGCCGTCATGTTGATTGATTTTACAAAGGTTTTTCTCATGTACAAATTACATTGCATAGTGTTCAATATGACGAAAACTCTATTGTTCTTCCACTCTGAGAAGAAGGGTTGCACACCACCCATGAAAAGAATTTATGTTTATTTTATGCTCTGTTAAGCATAGCCACTTTGATTTAATTTACCAACATGGCCGCATATGTGCCGATTACATGAGCCCGGTAGACGGGACTCAGCGAAGCGTTGAATGATTTTGGCAAATGGAAACGATTCAATTCTTGTCATCAGGTAAATATTCTTGAGCAATTTCACAATATTTTGATATTATAACCACGCAAATCATTTAAAACTAAAACAAACAATTTAATAGATTGTTCGAAATGCTCGACGAAAATAAAATATAAGTAGCTAACGGTGTAAAGCAGGTACTTTGGAAAGTGTTTGACATCATCGTTGCATGATAGAGCTTTGGAAAGATGCATCTTGTCAAGTAAGTATAGAAAAGGGACACCTTAACACATGGCTTAGGTGTTTTGCAAATTACTACTCGCATTAAGTTTGGTCAGCTTAACATTCTCATATAGTTTCTGTAATTAACGAGTGCATACTTACTGAATTAAATTTTAGATGTTTCTATATGACCTGAACAATCATAAACCTTTTCGACAAATGTATAATTGCAAAATACCACAGTTTAGTAATTTTACTATGTCAAAAAAACATTTCATAGTTACGTTATTGAGAATCAGATAAAAAGTACTATGAATAGGGAATGTGCTTGCTGAGATGTAAAAGTCAAGTGTATAGAAGTCAAGTGAATAAAAATATCGTCATTTCTTCTGTTGTTTTTTCTAGGGAACGTTTCCTGTGGCGATGACCTTGAGTCCGTAATCTAATTGGGAAAAGATATGTAAAAAAATACGATAATTGATTTCCTCATGTGCAGCGTATGATTTTTAATAAGTGTTAAAAGACAAACAATTCAGTTTTAGCTACTAATTTTGTACGCAGTCAAATGGTAGAAACACGAAAAAGTTCCTACAAAAATGCCACCCGTACCAATTGTTCTTTCTACCATTTGCTCTGTCGCCAGAAGCAATTTGTATATTAGATAAAATTAAAAACTAGCAAAATTTTAAAAGCATTTACGTTGGGTAAAAATGGCTAGCTCTGACAAGAAAATTAGCACTCACAGTTACAAACAGTCAATACAGTTTTGTATTACAACTTATTTACAAGCGGGATACAGTAAGTCGTCAGTGTTGTCATTAATACAAAATATATAGCATCTTGCATTATAACCAAGGGTAACTCGTAAATTTAGTTGTTAAAATTATAGATAGCATTTTATATCAGAAGGGTAACTCGTCAATGTTGTGATTATTTTTAAAGGTCGCATCTTGAATCTAAGCAAGGTTGACTCGTCAATATTGCCAATAAAATTAAAGATAATATTTTGCATTGCAACCAGGGTTAACTGGTATATGATTTGATTAATATGAAAGATAGCACCTTGTATTTTAACCATAGGCACTTGCGAATGTTGCCCTTAATATCACAGATCACAGTATCTTCTATCGCAAGGCTTACTCGTAAATGATCTTCTTAATATTACAGATTGCATCTTTGTATTACAACAAAGAATAACTTGTAAAATATTGTGGTTAATATGAAAAGTTACTTTCCGAACCACAAACGAGGGAAACTCGCTAATGTTCTAATTTATAGGTAGATCTCAACCACCCAACCACGTTGTAATACCAGAGAAACTCGTCAATATTTTGATGAAAATCAAAGATAGCCTCGTGTATTAAAAATAAGGGCAACTTGTCAATGTTTTCATGAAGATTACAGCCAGTATCTTGTATTTTTAACGATATTAAAGAAAGCATCTCGTATTGGCAACTTTTACGTGTTGAGCTTAATATTATTGCAACCATGGGTAACTTGCCAAATTCGTAATTTATATTAAACATAGCATCTTTTATTAAAACGGAGAGTAGCTCAGCCAGGTTGAGATTAATATTGAAGACAGCATCTTGCATTACAACCAAGGTTAACTCGTAAAGGTTTTGATGAATATTAAAGAAGCACCTTGTTTTACAATCAGAAATAGCTCATCGATGTTTTCATAAATAGAAAAGATAACATCCCGTATTACAACCAAGAGTAAATCGTTAATGTTATGATTAATAACACAGATAAGCTTCCGTGGCACGTTTAAAGAAACTTGTGAATAAATTGACGATTGTTAAAGATGGCATCTTGTATGACAACAAAAAGTGGCTCGTCGATATAGTGATCAATATTAGAGATAGCATTCCGTGGTACAACTTGAAGTAAGCTTGTCATTGGTCAATATGTTGATTGATTAATATAAACGATAGCATCCTGTATGACAACTAAGGGTAACTTGTTAATGTTACGATAAATAGAAAATACCATCTTGTATTGCAACAATCTTATGATTATGATCGTGACTAAAACACCACACGAGTACGAGTACATACGAGTACATACACATACGAGTACATACAAATACATACGAGTTACATACGAATATATATGGTTAGGGTTAGGGTTAGATATATATATATATATATACTGGTCACAAGTATTTATATATATATATATATATATAACCCTAACCCCAACCCTAAACCTATATAGTCGTATGTCACTCGTATGTAATCGTATGTACTCGTGTGGTGTTTTAGTCACGATCTTATGATTAATATTAAGGATAGCATCTTGTATTACAACCAAGGGTAACTTGTCAATGTTGTGATTAATATGACATAGCATCTTGTATCACAAGCAGGACTTACTGGTCAATGTTGTAATTAGTAGTATTAAAAGTAGCACTCCGAGTTGAAACCAAAAATTACTCGCCAGTATTGCTAATGATATTGAAATACCAATCAGAAACAAAAATACCAAAACGATTTGTCTTCACACATATCGTGGATGAAAATTGTCGCTCATAAGATTGCCTGATTGTTCTTGTGTAATAGAGTGCGCGAAATTGAGCATTTAGGCAATGTTTTAAGGCGTAGGGAAAATGTGGAAAAATGTAACAAAAAATAAGTAAACAACAGCATTGTAAAATTTATTGTAGGTATCATCTACTAGTAAATTTTTAGACTAAGCTACAAATGGTGCTGGGAGAAAGATTGACAATCCTATTTTAGCTGTTATGCATGATGAGTGTGGGTAAAGAGCCTGATTAACAAATGCAAATACGTAAGCATTTCTTTTCTCTGAGAGATATTGAAGGCTGTTCAAACAGTCATTTGCGGATCTAATACAAAGTCAGTATGGAACTCACAGAGCCGAAAGATTGTATAAATTTTTAGCTAGGGAAAAACAAACTCGCTGCAGGATTTAGCTAATCAATGCGCTTCCCTAAATTGTGAGAAATGCACGTGTTTTTAGAATTAAACATCCATCATTTGATTCGGCCAACGTTGTGTCATCGGTACTTTTCGGGGACAGTCGCCGGCTATCGAGCACCAGTTGGAGTAATGTCCACCTCCCATTGCAAAATATTACTCGCTCTTGCCATGTCCATCTTCGTCAACGTCCGTGAACTTATCGATTGAAACAAGCATCTGTGAAGCAAGTTTTATCGATTCTGCCTCAGAATAAAGTTGTCTGAAATGAAAATGGTTAAATAAATCGCAGTAGCATTTTACAAACAACAAATTTGAGCATTACGCTTCTTGCAAATGTCAATCTAATACTTTACTGTGTTTCCATTTGTTGCAATCTTTGGTAAAGCACGAAATCCAGCGCACGTGCAGTAAATATGCGTGTAAAATAATCTATAATGGCTTCTCTATAGATTTATGCTTTCTGCATGTTCAGCAAATTTAGTTTAGACTTTCTTTCATTTTAGCGCCAGTGTCTCTTGATGTTTGCCCAACTCAAAAGCATATGGCAAGAACTCGACAGGTAAAATGATTGAGCAAATATTTTGCAGTTTGCCATATGGAATTTTATCGCGCTACAAGTAACGATACATCACCTTAAGGCACCCTCGGCACTTTTTGTTGTAGTCTCCAATTGTTTTGAGACAGATAAAGCTCGTTCCTTCATTTTGAGAACATTAGTGTTGTACTTTTCAACCAAGGAGTCGTAGGTAGCTTTGTTAACTGAATGATTCTGAGAAACACATAAAATTTAACTTTGCTACAGCAGTATACTAAGGATGGTCTGTTAACCCACTCAAACCATTCTGGTCTAAGCCTAAACTGGTAGCCTAGCTGTATAACATTGCACCATTCTTTTTCCATGTATCGACAACTACACTTAACTCGTAGCCGCACGTTGTGCGTCTTTAAGAGGATTAGGTCCCACCATCAACATCACTTAAAGAATGAGTCTCAAGGTGATGCTTTGCGCGCTTAGCCATGTACAGGCAAAGGCAGGCATTTTCGGGGAAACTTAAAATGACGCCATATTAGGTTGTCAATGCAGTAATATGTCTATTTCAACAGCTAAGTCTTACCGTGGGACTCATTCTTTAAGATAAAAGTGCAAAGCTTGGTCTACCGAGAATGTCGTGCTTTCATACCTTAGTAACCGATTTTCCTCTTTTAATTTGATGCTCATCGCTTCTGCCTGAGACGCCCTTTGCTGATGAAAAAAACATAAACGCTAAATTTCATATTACGTATGCCTTAGTAAACATGAAGTGACATTACTAAATATGAAGTGACATTACATTATAATTCGTCCAACAAACAACTGCTACGTATATATTCCTGATGATAAAAAGGAGAAAACTTGTCCCGTGAAATAAGAGAGCCTTTCATTTCAAAATTGATTACATGGTAACAATGTCTTGTCCAAAAGTCATATAGGCTTGACGTGCGGCACAATACAGTGTGTGCTTTTAGCCTTGCTTACTTGATGTAACATTTACCGTGGTGAGTTCGAGATTTTTTTCAACCATTTGAACCATTTTTTCTAAGGCAAGCGTTTCTTCATTTTCTTTCTGCTGCATGTCTCTTAGTTTTTTCGCCAGAGTATCGGCTCTAAAAAAACAATTAAATGCCATCTTTAAAAGCTGTCTTACAGCAACGTCTATAGTTTACCAAAGAAACAAAACAACTACTGAAAAGTCATTTTCTTTTTCTTTTGGCAAATGTAAAGTCCACTACGGATGTCAAATCTACCACCTCCCACCCACCTTATCACGCAGGAACTTAGTGTTTTCGACTCTCTTTTATTCTTTTAAAATTTAACATATGCTTGTTTGAGTCCAAAAAAAGACAGTACAAAGTAACATTACGTAATACCTGATTGTTTCGAGTTCCTTTGCTTTCTCCAGGTCTTTAAGTTGTCTTTTAAGCTGGTCATTCTCTTTTTTCAGCTGTTGGAGAAGATAAGAAAACATGTTCTTGTTTTATTTTGAGGAAAGGCTCAGAGCGAACAGTGACTGCCCAGAAAACACGGGAAAATATCGTATCATAGTATGTCAACATCAGTTTAACTTGCACATTAGCAAAAACAGATTACTGAGAATGATTTGCAACAAAAAAGGCTATGTTTAAATGAAGATATGAAAAGATATGAAACATTCATAAAACATTCAAAAAAGGCTATGTTTGTTATCATTTATTTTCCATCGCTGAAAAATCTGCTACAACAAGAAACCCAACTATAATGTAAGCAAGCTGAGTTAAACATGTTCTAGTTGACAAAAACACCTTAACTGTCGACTTTTCCAGTTTCAATATGGTGGAAGTGTGATCACTGTTGTGAAGATCATCCTCATTCGCTCCAATATTCTCCTTTCGTTTGTTTTCATTGATCTTGGTGTTATTTTGCACCTCACAAACCTCATCGTCGACGATCTAGACATTCATAAACTTTTACCAAATGCGATTTCTTAATTAGCTTGTGGGGCAACAGTCAACTTCCAAAAAAGCAATAAACAAGGGAAGAGACTCAAGCCTAAAATGTTCTCAATGTTTCAAAGCGATTAGTTGAGCCAAATAGTGAAGACCTGTTATCTCTGAATCTCATGTTGAAAGAAAAACATAACTAGTTACATTGAACTAAATAAAACTGGAATGTGACATGCATGGCTAGAAGTGAAATTTAGCTTCATCCACGTTTAGGCATGCTAAACTTAAGATATAGCCTTCCAATTCATGGAGTTACAAGTTGGAGAGGGGGAGGGGGGTTGGTCTGACTAATATCCATCCATGCATGAGATAGCATAATCAGTTCCTTTGAAATAAATTGTATTTTACAGATTATGACATGCATGATGTATGAATATGAGCTTCCCAAGTATCAATCTTTCTATTGTACACAGCTAATGGACTATTGGTGGAATGATCTAGGAAATGAAAAAAAAGTTGAAAATGTTGGAAAGAAACAATGTTCTTCAGTGCATTAATTTGAAAGAACAATCACAAAATCTGTTGTTCTAAGTTTGTTGGCAGATCTATGTTATTAAATCAAAATTACCTGCAACACCCGACCTCCTGTTTTTAATGCAGCATCGTTCTTCACAAAATTCTTAAACAAAAATGGATTATCTGTGTCCACATCTTGCAAAGATTCGATCGGTTTCTCCTTTGCATAAGACTGCTTCTTAGACCCTTTTCCTAACAGAATAACAGCATTTTCAACCATTATTCAAATACATGCTTGGGCAATTGGTGTTTACATGGTTCTAGCAAACATAATGTAGTTAAGGTGGATTAAAGCCATTTTGTAGTGAGGAGAGGGTACTTGCTGTTCACCAGTCAATAAATATTAGATGTAATCAACAACCCAGTTGTCATATATTATGTCAAGCCATCTTCTCTAAGTGTGACATGATTTTAGGCATTGAAAGGAGTTCAACTTTGGTCATGAAAATTTAAACACTTTATCAAGCTCAATAAATGAGTCCCAATGTATTTTAAACAAATGGAAAAAAGTTGCTGTCATTCGTAACATTATACCTATGTTCAAGTTGAGGATAGAATGAACACTTTTTGGAAAATTTTTAGGAGACTAATTTTGCATCCTTTCAATTTTCAAAAATCATTTAAAACCTTGGTTCATGTTAACATATCACTTTATACGTTATATCACAATAAAGAAAACAACTGTGAATTTGCTGGTGCATATTTGATCTGTTTTGAAAAGCAATGTCAATAATTTGAATTGATAATATTTTAGATTGTTGACTGCATCCTGGCAAGTTCTGAAACAGAAGGTTGCACAAAGGCCTTACCCGATTGGCCAATGAACGTGATAAGCAAGTGATTTAAATGGTCTGTGGATAAAACAGGTAAAAATAAACAATTACCTTTAACTTGTCTCTTCTGAACGGTCTTGTCGACTTCAGGAAACGGAATGTCCGTGTTTAGTTGAATAATGCCATTTGCTTGCCCATTTATACTGACAGGAACTTCTGATCTTTCTTCGATTTCATTGTCCCTCGGGTTCTCTAGAGTTTCTTTGGATATTGTCTTCACAAAGTGCTTGAATGAAAACGGATTTTCTTCAGTCGCATCATCACTCATATTACGCCAAATAAAATTTAAGTAGAAAGATATTCCATATAATTCAGCAAAAACGTGTCGTAAATAGACAAAATGATATCTTATGTTTATTTTTTTATTTCTAACTTCGTGTTCGTCTTTTTCCGGCGACCGCTGACGTACTAACAGCGGCTCAAAAAAAATTTTGAAAAACTTCATATAACAAAGAGCAAATCCTTTGGAAAATCAGACAATTCCCAATTTTCTCACGACGATGTTCGTAACTTAGATGTAAAACATATAAATTGTTTTGATTCCTGAAAAAAAGCACTAAAATTTTAAATAATCGTCTAAACATTTTCCAGATCAAAACGGGTCACAAACCTAGTTTATTAGAGTTTAGGCCAATGGTTGCTCTGATGTTAGTGATGTATATTAACTCATGTTCGGGGGCTGATGTTAATAAGCATTAATTGCTTCTAAAATCTCTTTCCTTTCCCATTCCTTTGAAATTGATGTGCTAATATTAAGATAAACCAGGACTCGGTAGCACGAAACAAGAACACCGTTATTCATTAGGTTATGGTAGTAGTATACAGAGCGTTGCCGCTGCTGCACTTCACCTTGAGAAAGCGTCGTTTCTGGCGCACCTCACAGTTTGAAAAGGAGTATACACAAATCTAAGCGCCCCAACCCTAGTTCGCGTACGTATGCTAGCATAATTACAGCGAAGTTCAAACCCTGGACAACGGCAGGAGCCAAAGACGGCCGGCCCACCCCCCGCGCCCGCGCGGCTGGCCATCGGGGCTAAGGCGGTGCCTCCGCCGGCCGTCAGTCATTTGAAGAAAGACGATTCACAGCGTATATCCAAACTCACAGCGTATATCCAAACTCACGGCGTATATCCAAATAATCGACAGCCATGAGGCAGGGCAAGAACAAGTGCGCGTGGGTGAAGGTCCACACTAGAGAACCATGTGGAAAGTCATGTATGAGGAAGTATTTTGGAGTGCATCTGCAAAAAATCCGGCATGGCTCGCCGGTGCCATTCCCATGTCGGGGTTGTGGTATCAGCACACAGGCAGGGGCGCAACGATGCGCAGATTGTTGCCAGCAAGCCAGAAAATCACGCCTTCGTAGAAAAGAGGCGCGAGCACGAAGGCAGTTTAGCCTGGTCCCAGCGAAGTGGAGGCCAGGAATTACTACTTAAAGAAAAGCGTATGGTAGGTTATATTAACTGAATTTTCATTATATGCTAGGCTACATCCATTTAGAGAATAGCGTATGGTAGGTTAAATTCACTGAATTTCATTGTATGCTTGGCTACATCCATTTAGAGAATAGCGTAATATAGGTTATATTCACTGATATGGATACTGTTAATAAACTTCTGCAACTATATGACCAAGGTGTAATCAGCGGACACGCGCTGAACACCTCTCTTAAGGCTCTTCAACCTCCCGCTGCCTCAACACCCACGCCAAGAAATGTTACTCCGCCTATCCCAAAACCGCGCAAGCGCAGGCCCGCCGAGCCTACTGATGATGAGATGGACGCATACATCAATGAGCTTCTGGCTGAATTTAAACCACGACGCCCCACAAGGGCTCCTCCCCCACCACCTACGGAAACGAAGGCCTTCAGCCATCATCTGAAAGCCTGGAAAATGCAGGTGCCGAAGGGACACCCCTCCGAACGCGATTTGATGGCTTTCCTCAAAAGCGCCCAGCCCTACATCAAACGCAAACTCGTCAAGGAGCTACTAGCTCTACGAGGAGTTAAGTCCCAGTTGGCTGTAGAGGTTGAGAATCGGAAGGATGAAGCAAATGGCACTGAAGTACTTCAAGCACCAGTGTTCCGGACAAAGCAGATCACGCTGCTACAGGCGCATGAGACTCCGCAAGCCCAGCATGAAGCCTTTGCAACAATCGTGGAGAGATTGGAAAATTCACTCAGGAAGGGTCTGGGTGGATAGTGGGTCGTGTCAAAACACTCTGGCTTGACATCGCTCACCACGAGCCTTTACGCGGAGGCTCATACATTCCTCTCCCCACCGCGGTCAAGAATAAAAAGACAATCGTCAACGTGAAGAACAACGACGACGATTGCCTCCGCTGGTCTCTAAGGGCTGCGCTGTTTCCTGCAGCTAAAGACCCGCAACGGCCGGGCAAATATCTCACTGAAGACGGCCTTAACTTTTCAGGAGTGAGCGCACCCACACCGCTCTCCCAGCTCGAACGAGAAGAGCGTCAGAACGACCTTGCTATCAACGTGTACGGGTGGAAGGGCGGAGAAATTCCTTACCGTCTGAGCAAAGTAGAGGGAGCCCGCAAGACTGTGAATCTCTTCCTCGTCTCGGATCCGAATGATCCTGAGAAGCACCACTACACTTGGATCAAGGACTTCAACCGCCTTCTCAACTAGAGTGGCCACCATCAGCTGCACTTCTGTGAGCATTGTCTTCACGGCTTCACCAGACAAGATTTGCTGGAAGAGCATAAGCCTGAATTTCGATGCATCAACCAGGCCGTGGTTGCCATCAGAATGCCAATCCCCGGAAAAAAAATGACAAAATCCGCTTTGAGAACTACCACAAGCAGCTCAAAGTGCCCTTCATAATCTACGCAGACTTCGAAAGCCTCGTTCGTAAGACCGAGGGCCCCGCGCTTAACCACGAAAAGAGCGGCACCCAGCAAACTTCCAGACACGAGGCATGCGGCTACTCATTCATAGTCGTTCGTTCCAACGGGGAAACGCATCAGCCGCAGCTCTACCGAGGGCCCGACGTCGCAAGAAGAAGAGCACTCCAAGAAGAAGAGCGCTCCAAGAGGAAGAGCGCTCTAAGAAGAAGAGCGCTCCAAGAAGAAGAGCGCAAGGTCAAGACGGTGTTGGCTAACCACGAGCCTACGCACATGACAGGAAAGGACTGGGGGATTCACAAGAAAGCCACAAATTTACGACAACCATACCGGTTGTCTTCCACAACCTGCGGGCCACGACAGTCACCTCATCATGCAGACTATCGCAGAGACTGAAGGGAAGGTCACCTGCATCCCCAACTACGCCGAGAAGTACATCTCGCTTAGCGTCGGCCAACTCCGATTCATCGACAGCGCCCAGTTCATGCTCTCAAGCCTGGATGGCCTGGTGAAAGCCAGCGACCCGCAAGACATGCGTATCACAGCAGACTACGAGCCAAACCTCAACAGGCCCTCTTGCTCCGGAAGGGGGTCTACCCCTACGATTACATGGACGGCTGGCCCCGATTTGACGAGGAGGCCCTCCTGCCGAAGGAGGCTTTCAACAGCAAGCTCTCCGGCGAAGGCATCACCGACGGCGACTACGCTCACGGAAAAAGGGGTTTGGGAGGCTTTGGCTGCACAAGCCTCGGCGACTACCACGACCTCTACCTTCGGACTGATGTCCTCCTCCTTGCCGACGTCTATGAGAACTTCCCAAAGCTGTACCTCGAGCGATACCGGCTAGACCCGCCCCACTATTACACGAGCTCAAGCCTAAGCTGGGACGCTCTCCTCAAGCACACAGGGGTGGAGCTCGAGCTGCTCACCGACATCGACATGCATCTCTTCATCGAGAAGGGCCTGTGCGGCGGCATGAGCATGGCCAGCAGGCGCTTTGCCAAGGCCAACAACCCCAAGGTGCTAGACTTCGATCCGGGAAGCCCCAAAGCTGGATCCAGTACTACGACGCCAAAACCTGTACGGGTGGGCGATGTCGCAGCCGCTGCCGACAGGTGCGTTCGAGTGGGTCGCCCAAGAGGATGTGAAGGCTGCCCTGAACCAGCCTGTAGATGCAGAAGGGCTACATTCTCGAAGTCGATCTGGAGTACCCAGAAGAGCTGCATGACAAGCACAATCCATATGCGTTAGCGTCAGAACGCCTGAAGGTCGACAACGCGTGGATGTCGGATTACCAGCAAAATCTCCTCAAACAGATGTACGGGGGTGCGTCTTACGAGGTTGAAAAGCTGGTACCCAATCTGCGCGACAAGACCCAATACGTCCTGCAGTATCGGAATCTTCAGCTCTATCTGCAGCTTGGCATGCGCCTGAAATAGATGCACAGGGCACTCAGCTACGATCAAAGCCAATAGATAGAGCCCTACATCCGGAAAAACACTGAACTCCGGAGGAAGGCAAAGAGTGACTTTGAAGTCAAGCTCTATAAGCTGCTGAACAACAGCGTCTCTGGCAAGACGATGGAAAACCTCCGAAAGCGTGTTGATGTGAAGCTGCTCCGGCCAAGCGAGACCGACAGACTCTGCAAACTTATTGCCAAGCCGACATTCAATCAAAATCTCATCTTTGGGGATGTGGGCGATCTCGCAGCCGTCCACATAAATAAAAGCAGTCTGCTGCTTAACTGGCCGGTCTTCGTGGGCATGAGCGTTCTCGACCTCTCGAAGCATCTTATGTACGACTGGTACTACAACCATCTCAAAGGGCAGTACGGGTCGCCAGCAGAGCTCCTCTACACCAACACCGACAGCCTTCTATTGGAGATCCAGACTAAGGATGTGTACGCCGACATGAGGCGCAACGCCGGTCAGTACAATACCAGCAACTACCCTAAAGACCATCCGCTGTTCAGCAAAGCCAACAAGAAGGTGCTGGGGAAAATGAAGGACGAGTGCGCTGGGGCGCCTATCGCTAAGTTTGTAGAGCTCAGGCACAAGATGTACTCTATCCTGAAAGCCGAAGGTCTGGAGGAGTTGCGAAGCAAAAGCTGTTAAAAAGGCCGTCGTGAAAAGGATATCAGTCATGCCCAGTACAAAGAGGCGCTCTTCGAAGCAAAGTGCTTCCACTACGGTATGGATATGCTGCGCAGTCACAGGCATCAGATCTTCGGCGAGCATGTCAACAAGACATCGTTGAGCCCGCTGGGTACGAAGTGCTGAATCGCGGCTGATGGGATCTCTACCCTAGCATACGTGCATAGGGAAGCCGGTGCGGAGGTGAATATCACATTGGATTAATCATCACATCAGACTAACAGAATTAAATTCCTTCCACGGCTAAGCCGGCGGTATTTCGGTCCAAAGAGCACCATTTGGAGCTCCTCGCGCACAAATGCGCGCTTGGGCCCATCGCTCAAATAATACAACACGAGCTTCCCGCCCTCAACCACAGCCCGCTCGACCTGGTGAGAGGT